CCTCCGCTCAGTCGTGTATGAATCGCGACAAATGGCTCACACTGAGTTAATAGTGAATGAATGCGCGATCTGCACTGTCTCGGTTATACGACGCCCGATCTTAGCCGTTTCGGTCTCAAAGTTTCTACTACCACTGTTGGCGTGTTCTCTCGTGGGCTTCTATTTATATCTCAAAAAGGGGCGGCTTTTGTTTTGTCCAGGGCAATTGTTAAGTTGCAATGTCAAACTGTGATTTACGTTTTTTCTTAGGTCTTATGGTGGTTGATATCGAGTGCGTTGAAAGGGAAGTAATTTACGATTTTCTCGAGTCTGCGGGAAAATTGCTCCGAGTGGATGTCAAGCTTTATTGTATCGCGAAAAATATAGCTAGGTAAACTATCATTTATGATGTTTAGTTAGTTTTCTTAGGATGTTCGTGGGCAGGGTAACCTTGTCAATCTCAAGTCTGATCCCAGATAACATGGGAAGTTTCTTTGAAGCATTTTATATCTTGGCGCGACGTGGCGCCGGAATTATTTTTACCTAAATGGAATTGTTGGTCAGCTTCGGGTGACGGCTTGGGTATTTGCTATTTCCTTATATGGGTATATTTCGCAATCGTACCGCTTCTAGTCCCGCGTTTTTACCTAATATGGAATTGTTAGTCTGTCTCGGGTGACAGCTAGGATATGACGTAGATATATAGATTTCGCAAGCCTAGCGTTTTCAGCCTTGCATTGGCGTTGTTATTCTTTCCTTCTTGAGTGGCATTTATGAGTTTTCGTGGAAGCTGTTTAGGCCTTCTAATTCTTTTAAATTTTTAACAGAAGACTGCACTTGAATCTCATAAATGCCATCATCGCGGCGTGGAGCCGTCTTTCGAAAGAAAAGAATCGTGGCGTCTACAGGACGTAACACTTTATATAATAGGTATGTACACTATCCATCATATACATGGTGTCATATACAGAAAATAACGAAATTTTTTAAATGAGTTTTATGTAAAAATATATCTCTATAACTATAAGAGTCCGCCGATTAATTTATAAGAAAAAGTTGATCAGTACTTTCACCTTTATAACATATGTCAAGGTCAAGGTCATCGAATAGGAGTCCCCTAAAGGTTAACCATAATTTTTATAAGAATAATGATAGAAGTTTAAAAAAATTTTTTTTAATTTATATGAACCATGTCCGTCCGTTTTCCGTTGTTAGAATATACGCGATATTGGCGCAGGATCAACGCGATCGATAAATGAGTATGTAATGCTGAAAAGATCCTGTTAGATGGCATCAGCGTTTTTCTGCGTCCCGCTTCTCAGGGCGCGAGTTAAGTCTTATATATAGTTGGTCTGCCGAAGAGTGAGTATGTGTGTGAGCGCATGGCGTAATATAGAAAGCATTTTTGTATTCTTAATAAATCACATTTTTGTGAACTGAATCTATTGTCTCGTGCATCTATACCACTACTGAATTAACATCCGTAAACTCTTTAAAGTTACACAAATATTTTAGAAAAAGTAAGTTTTTATATAATAAAAAATTCAAAATCTTTTCGAAAAATTATTGTGCTAATTTTTTTCGATAAGCATTTTAAAGTTTAGAGAATTTATTTTGAAACGCTTATATATTAAATTTCGTTCGATGATGTTTCATCCAAGTACAGCGCATAAAAAAGCAGATATAATAAAAAAATATCACTTTCAATTTTATACAGGATGTCTAAAAAAAAACGGATCGAAACACAATGGGGACGTAGATTGGATCAAGGGGAACAAAACAGTTTTGTACCATTTTGCAGTTGACGCAATATTTAACTAGATATTAACGTTTAAAGATAGGCGAATACAAGCGTCCGACCAACCTACTGCTCAAGCGCTATCCTTCTCC